CCTCTCCAGGATATCAGAATCGGTTGTTGTCAAAGTCTGTCGGCATCTATGCTAGAAAATCACCGCCACCACTACTATATTTGCTAGTGTCGTCGTAGGAATCTCACAACATCTTGGCCTTTGGAAGAGATCCGGAATTCTGTGAAGAATCAAAACAAAAATAGGAAAGTGAAAAAATCTACACCGTTGTTGAGGCAGGCTATCACCACCCACTGACATATCTGGTGAAATCTCACATAGCTACTGGTACCCAACTTGTTATCGATGTTGTCGGGCTTTGCAACAACCACCAAGATTTGCATCACATGAGCGAAGCAATGGGTTCAAAAGCTACCTCAATTCAAAGATAACAATGTTAATGCAAAATTGTGAACATGCTGGTGATATGCCCTTACAACCGATGCATGTGTAGGGATGATGGACGAATGGTGTGTTTCTGGTTTCTTGCATTGATTGAAGATGTCTCATGGGTCCACTTACTTCACTAATAATTTTTAGGATAAATAACAACTCTATAGGAAGGGTGAATAACGTTTAAAATAAATCACAATAAATTAAAGAGTAAATTCCATAATTGATTCTTTATAAGAGGGGGGTTTCCATATTTAGTCCTTTATTAGCAAATATTACCACGGTAGTCCTTTTTTTAAGGGTACCTTTCCACAAATGCTCATTTTTTATTTTCTGCCGTGTTGGTGTTAATTTAAAGGCTAAAAATATGATTTGACATCAACATTATGTCTAGTGATGTGTTCTGATATTGCTTAAGCGGATAACACAAAAATAATTGTTAGAATAAGTGCCCTTCACTAGAGGGGGGTGAATAGTGAGGCACGATAATATTTATAAATTTTCGCGGAATAAAAATCGCAGGGATAAAGTAAAGAGCGGAATAAAAAGGAGTAAAGGGAGCACACCAAAATTTATACTGGTTCACCACAACGTGTGGCTAGTCCAGTCTCCCGAGAGACTCTCTCGAGCTACACTACTTCCGTTAAGATTACGGGTGCTTAACAAACCGTTACAACCTGAGAACTCGAGTCCCACGAGCCTCAATACACTTGCTCGGATATACCGCACTCCAAGACTTCAACCCGAAGGAAAATACCTTTCCTTCGTACAACCAAGGGAAACAAGCTTCCCTAAACGTGTTTACAACACTAAGAACACTCAAGAACAAGACTCTCTTTAAGAGTAGATGTTGAGTAAACTATATACGCTCAAGAACAACTCAAACTTCACAAATTGGCTCTAGAAAGCCATGGAAAATAATGTTGTTTGGATGCAATGATAATATGAATAAAGTGAAGTAAATTCATGAGAAAAGCAGACCCAAACACCCCTTTTTATAGTGTCAAAGTAGGCTCCAACGGACCAAGACATTAAAGGGATGATTGGCTTGATTTATGGGATTGATTGAAATGTGGATCTGCATGATATTGGCTATCCCAGCGATGTTTGGACTTACCCATCGCTGGTAAGCCATTTTTCCTTCAGTTTTGAATCCAACGGTCACCTACCCATCGATGGGTAAATGCTTCCCATCGCTGGGTGGGAGGTTGACTTTCAAACAAGGAAAGAATCAGCCTTAAATGACTCACAACGGTCATGCCTTCCCATCGCTGGGTTCCCATCGATGGGTAAAGCTTCCCATCGCTGGGTAAGGGCATTCTGCCTTGTGATAATGTTGGACCAAGGCTTGAACAGCGATGGGTAGAGCTTCCCATCGCTGTTTGGCATGGTTCTGGAATTCAATTGGGCTGAAGGCTGCTTACCCATCGATGGGTAATATCTCCCATCGCTGGGTGAAATGATTCTGGAATCCCGGGATCGCTTTCCCATGCATGGGTGAAATCTACCATCGCTGGGTAGATGGCTAGTCCAGAACCATGGCTTAGCCGACCGGCACTGAAATTCGACCGAAAAATGCAAAGTTCTCCAAAGTAAAAACTAAGTGTTTAAAACACTTATTTAATGTATTTTGATGTCAAAATAAGCTTTGTATGTTGAAAACCACGTCGTTAAGGTAAAAACCACGGATGACCAAGTCAATACCGTACACGGGTGGTTTTTACCAAAAGACAAAACC